GATCTTTTCTATTCCTTCTTAGTAATTAATAAAGATAATAACCAAAAAGAAGATTTTCCTAGATGTAGTCTTTTAATCTTTGCCTTCCTGAAGACATTAAATAACACATTTGCAAGGATTTTTCTATTCCTTCTTAGATGCATAAAGATAATAACCAAAAAGAGATTTTCCTAGATGTAGTTTTTAATCTTCCTGAAGACATTAAATAACACATTTGCAAGGATCTTTTTCTATTCCTTCTTAGTAATTAAAAGATAATAACCAAAGATAATAAATCTTTGTCTTCCTGAAACATTAAATAACACATTTTTACAAGGATCTTTTCTATTCCTTCTTAGTAATTAATTAATAACCAAAGATTTTCCTAGATGCAGTCTTTTAATCTTTGCCTTCCTGAAGACATTAAATAACACATTTGCAAGGATCTTTTCTATTCCCTTCTTAGTAATTAATAAAGATAATAACCAAAAGAGAGATTTTCCTAGATGCAGTCTTTTAATCTTTGCCTTCCTGAAGACATTAAATAACACATTTGCAAGGATCTTTTCTATTCCCTTCTTAGTAATTAATAAAGATAATAACCAAAGCAAAGATTTTCCTAGATGCAGTCTTTTAATCTTTGCCTTCCTGAAGACATTAAATAACACATTTGCAAGGATCTTTTCTATTCCCTTCTTAGTAATTAATAAAGATAATAACCAAAAACCAGAGATTTTTTTCTAGATGTAGTCTTTTAATCTTTGCCTTCCTGAAGACATTAAATAACACATTTGCAAGGATCTTTTCTATTTCCTTCTTAGTAATTAATAAAGATAATAACCAAAGCAGAGATTTTCCTAGATGTAGTCTTTTAATCTTTGCCTTCCTGAAGACATTAAATAACACATTTGCAAGGATCTGTTCTATTCCCTTCTTAGTAATTAATAAAGATAATAACCAAAAGAGAGATTTTCCTAGATGTAGTCTTTTAATCTTTGCCTTCCTGAAGACATTAAACAACACACATGCCACAAATACAGTGAAAAATGATGATGACAAGATGAAGTTAAAATCTAGGTTGGTAGCAAAAGGATTTGAAGAAGCTTGTCTCAAAGAAATACCCCAAAATTCACCAACAATCAACAAGTCATCTCTAAGAACAGTATTATTAGTCATTGCACAACATAATTGTTCTGTCGTTACAATTGATGTAAAGACTGTATTCTTGCATGGTGAAGAAATTGCATGGGATGTCTACATTAGACCCACATCAAAGGCATGTACTAAAAAGATTTGGAAATTAAGGAAATGTATTTATGGTTTAGCAGATGCGTCATTGCAATGATATCAAAAGGTAAAAAAAACTTTAAGAGTCAAAGGACAGATATCTAAGATTGATCTAGCAATATTTTATTGGTTTGATACGGGCCTGTATGGAATATTTGTCATACACATTGACAATTTTTTTTATGGACAGGAAGTGATAAATTCCAAAAGGTCTTAGTATCAAAAATCAAAAGTATATTTGAAGTTGGAAAAGAAGCAACAAGTCCATTCAAATATATTGGATTGAATCTGAGTCAAGAAGAGATGTGTATCATGTTAACACAGAAGGATTAACAATGTAACAGAAGTGAAATTAGACAAAAAGGAAGAAAACAGCCCACTTATCTGAGAATGAGCTAAGCTTGGTCAGTTCTTGTGGATTTCCAACCAATCATGCACTGATATTACGTTTGATGTGACAGATCTGGCTGGTAGAATCAACACAAGTACATTTGAATATTTGAAAGGATTCAATAAGATGATCAAGAAAGTAAAATCTGACCATGTTTATTTGAAGTATCAAAATTTGGGCAAGAACCTAGAAATACATGTTTTTATGGATGCATCATTTGGAAATTTGAATAACAATGGCAGCCAAGGAGGACATAGGAGATAATCAGAAGATGAATCCAATATCATGGCAATCCTGCAAAATAAAGAGAGTAGTAAAAAGTACATTAACCAGTGAGACATTAGCTCTATTGAAAGAGATTGACAATGCATTTAGTATCTCAATGCTTTTAGGTGAGTTGTTAAATAATAATCACCAAAAGATCATTCCTGTCAAGTGTTTTCTAGATAATAGATTTGGTCAAAGCAATCAAATCAATTAAACTTGTTGCAGATTAAAGATTAATAATAGAAATAGCAAGTATCAAGGAAATGTTAGATAAGGGAGAAATAACATGGGTGAAGTCTAATGATCAAATTGCTGTCTAACTAAAAGAGGTACCTCACCTTACTACATGAATGGAGAGATGACAGAATAATGTTTACTTTTAAATAAGAAAAGGAATTAGATTGTTAACTATTGTTTATTGTAACTGGTATAACCAGCTATCCCCTCCCTAATTTAATGGGCAGTTCCTATCAGCAGTGGCAGCAGCAGGAGCATTGACTTGTGTCCCCCTCTGCACAGGGTGGATTGGGCCATTAGATACTATTTAAACCTTTGAGCCCTGACTACTGCTTTACCGGTAGTAGGGAAAAATAATATAATGCCCAGCCACCGTTTGAACAGTGGTAGAGAAAAATAACTTAATACCCAACCACTGGTTGAATGGTGGGTAAACACTTATAACTAATTTTATATCTACCGTGAAACATTACATACCAATTATTTGTGAATTTTGACTCAGAAACTCAGGCAGAATTGGTTAAAATTGTTCAGGAACACAAGGCTAAAAAGGGTTAAACTGCTGTGATTTCTCTCTTGGTACTTTAACTTAGACTTGCCTCGAGGAACTACTGACATTTTAAACCAGACCTGGACTCTTATCATTTGAGATTGAAATGATTTAAAAAAAAAAAGAAAAGAAAAGAAGCTAAATAAACTTAATGATGATAAATATACACAGGCAATTTTGATTTGTTAATATTTTAACATTTTTGATTGTTTTTATATTTGAAACTAATTTACATTTCTATCACTAGATCTGTATTTTATTTTTTCCCCCCATAAATTATTTATTCTCAGCAAAATGCTAAGGATATAAAACAGATTTTGTATGTTAGGTGTTTTAAATTGCTGTTTTGCCTTGACTTTCTTTTAAAAAGAAAATCTGTGCTTTTTTTTTGTGCAATTTTAAAGTCTTAAACGTAAATGCCCTCTGGCATATTGCTTAATGGATAAACATGTTGGTCATAGCTCAACTAATCCAAGGTTATCATGAGTTCAATCTCTGGTGGAGAAACAGTGTGACATGAGAAAAAAGAAATGATACAAAATTCTGAACACATACTGGCAAAATCATATGAAGTTTTCTCTTTGGTAGACTGATAATGTACCATGGTCTAAAGTTAAAAAAAAAAAAAAAAAAAAAAAAAAAAGGACAATTTGTATCAAAGAGCAAGACTTTGTTAGAGAAACTTTGACTAAGTGTTGTTAGTATTCAGTCTGTCTAACAGGCTATGGTCATGGTAATATTAGCTGTTTCCCACCAAGGAAACATTTGGCATTCATTGACTTCACAGGCAGTCCTGCTTCAGGTTGAAATTTATAAAATCTTTCTCTTGAAACAATTTTTCATGAAAATAGGTTTATCAAGTCCAGTAACTGTCATCACCTTTTCCCTTCTTATCTTTTATTTGAAGTGATGTGGAATGTTAACATCGTGATTATGTCATTATTTTCTCTTCAAGTTACATGTCCTATTCATTTTAATTGTTGCTTTTTTTTTTTTTTTTTTACTAATATTCACCCAATTCAAGGCTCCAGAGCCATTCAAAGTAGAGGGTTGCTGTGTAGAGTTATATTATTGTAGGAAAGGACAAGAATGAGGAGTATATATCTGAAATTAAAAAAATCTTTAGACACTTGACAATGTAACAATAATGCATAATGCCAATAAACCCTCTGTCGCTGAAACAGACAAGACGATATGCGTATAATAAATGTCATCATTCGCTTTAATTTAGAAACACCAACCCTATCTTGACTTGACCTCTTTCTAAAATTAACTGATATGTTGATACAAATTGTTAACCCTTATGCCCCTTATTTAAATTATTGCTTCAGCCATTTCCATAGTAATTAATTTTACGAATGAATATGCTTATAAAGATGCGTAAATTTCAAGATTAGTTATTCCAAACATTTCGCTTGAAGATGAAACAGAGCTTGATACTTTGATTCAATTTAATTTTAATAATTATATTGAAGTTTTTGGCTCTTGATTTTGAAACATGAGAACTCTTATGTAGTGAAAGAATCATATTTTTTAAAAATAATTATAATTTAGGTTCTACTTTTGTATTGAGCACCGTTTTTTAAAAATAAAAACAAAAATACTAAAGAAATTCAGATCATTTACCTAACGTGTTCTTTCCTATTTTTCTATATATTTGCACACACACACACACACACACATATATATATATATATATATATATATATAAAACAGCATCCGTCTGTCTCGAGAGACGATGGAGTAGCGTGGTGCGCTACATACCTGGGCTGGATATATAGAGAACTAGGGCTGCTCGGGCGTCTAGTTCTCCCTCTCAACCTTGCTAGCAGAGTCCAAAAGGAGAGGATAAACCAATATGGTACCAGTGCGGCTAAAAGAGTTGCCAGAAGGTAGCACAAAGTGCCGTCCATCTGCCTTAGGGACTCCACTCCGGGTTTGAATTCAGAGTTGTCCTTCTCCTAGACCAGTTGCCATCCAAGGCTATAGAACCCAGTCTGTCCTGCTATTTACCCATAGCTGGAGGGAGAAGAAGAGGATTCACGCCTTTTCCCAAGGGTATTATCACGTAAGTGAATGTAATGGATTCGACTGGAATTTGAACTTGGCTCTCCAATTCCTCAATACAAGCCGCTATCCATTACTCCACCGTGCCTATATATATTTACATACATACATACACATAGATACTATACTATATATATATATATATATATATATATATATATATATATATATATAATAAATAAAATAAACTTTCTATTATATGTAATTCTTGTCCTTTTCTAGTATATCAACCAACAACTATGTCAGAAAATTGCCCAGTATGACCCAACAGCCTTAGATGACCTCATTGAAGTGGAAAAAATGGAAGAGAAATTGAAAGGTAGGAAGAGAGCTTTCTTTTTTTTATTTTGTTGGTTTATTTTCATCTTTTTTTGTTATTTATCTGCTAACTTTTTCTGATTTCTTACTTACCTTTGTTGTTTATGATACCTCTACCTGAAAAGGTGACTGTTCTAGTTTTGATTATTCTAGAAATAAAAGTTTGAAGTTGACATTTTGATCAGGTTTATCATTGATGAATTGTTTTGGACAGGTATTTCTTTTGTCTTGATTTCTGCAGCTTTTTAGAGCAATTCTCTGCCTTTTTACAATCATTTGGGATGTGCAGGTGGTGTAATGAATAGTGGCCTGAAACAAGAAACGGGAGAGTAAAGTTCAAATTCCAGTCAACTCCTTTACACTCACTTTTGTATAAATACCCTAGGGTAAAGATATGAATCCATTTTTCTCCTCCCAACTATGGATTAAATACCAGGGCATACTGAGCTCTTAAGGCATGGCTAGCTTCCAGTCTAGGAGATGGACAACTCAAAATTCATTAGGACTTATTTTATTACTAGATATATTCCATTCTATTGTTGCTTTTTATCCCAACATTCTCTTCATTATTACTCCTAATTATATTACATCTTCTTATAGGCTTTGGGTGGGGGTGACATAGTGAATTCTGGCTTGAAATGAAAAATTGGAAAGTCATGTTTGAATTCTAGTTGGGTTCGTTGCATTCATTTACTCACAAATGCCCTTGGGAAAGGTATGAAGCCATCTCATCTCTACCTATGGGTTAAATAGTAGGATTTGTATTGAGGAAAAAAACCCAAAGAACAAACAATTGTTATCTCTAAAATATTGTTAATTCATATTAAAAAAAAAAAAATAGGATTATTCTTATAATCCGATGTTTCAGCTTGAAATAAGCTACAACTTTTTAAAAATATGAATTTATTGGACCATGACATGAATTTTTTTTTTTTTTTTGATACATGAATTTTGGGGGTGAATTTTTATGATTTTTTTTTTTTAAAAATATAAATTTTTTGAACCTTTCAGATGAAATTTTTTTTGAATACATGAATTTTTTGGTGTGTGGGGGATTCTATGTTTTTTTTTTGTTTTTTTTTTTTTTAAATATGAATTTTTTGACCCTTTTAGATAATTTTTTTAATACATAAATTTTAGGGAAATTTTTATGATTTTTTTATATAAACTTTTTGGACCTTTTAGATGAAATTTTTTTGAATACAGGAATTTTTGGGTGGGGGGATTTCTATGTTTTTTTTTTTTAAATATGAATTTTTTAAAAAAAAAAATGAATTTTTTGGATACATGAATTTTGCGGTGGATATTATGGTTTTTTTGGACAGTTAGATATTTTTTTTTTGGAATACAAGAATTTTTGGGAGGATACTTATGATGTATTTTTTTTTTTTTTAAATATGAATTTTTTCATTTTTAGATTCTAAGAATGTTTAAAAAATCAAATTTTATTAATATTTTCCTTCATACTCACCAGATTTAGCCATCGACAGATTTTCATTTGTTTTGGTCACTAGATGATTTCATAAGTGGCAGAACTTATAGTCTTTCAGTGAAAAAACCCCAAATTTCTCTAAATATGGAATTGAAAGTTTGACTTTCTGTTGGGCTGCAGTTGTTGAAAATGAAAGTGAATACATTTTGAATAAATATTTAAATAAATTTAAATCACCTCCGACCAGAAAGTACATTCTCAGACTAACATGACATGAAGTGTAAATCAAATCAGTTGTTAGGCAAGTATTTTTCTCACCAGAATCCGTCTTGCACATTTATAAATCTACCATTCATCTGTGGATCAAATATGGTCTGGTGCCTCTGCGATATATCTAGAGATTCTTGATAAAATCTAAAGAATCTTCAATGTCATTGGTACTGACCTGGCATCTTAGCTTCAGTCACATTTTCATCACTGTAACAGTTTCCCTGGCACATTTCTATAAACACTTTTATGGTAATTGTTCTGATGAACTTGCTTCTATCGTATCTAGATTGCATCATTTTACAATTGAAATTGCTAGATGTAACTGTAGGTTCTATGTTAACAGTTTCTTCTCATGTACTTGTCGCTTGTGGAACTTTCTGCTTCCCAGCCAACTTTGATCTTCAAAAATTTAAATGCAATGTCAATCATTATTTTCTGTCTTCTTAATTCTCGTTTTTTTATTGTTCTCTCAATAATGTTTTTGTTTTTCATTCTGATTAGGCATTAAATGACCCACTGAAGTTTTGATATGCTGTAAAACAAAATAACCAACCAATTTTCATTCTGATATTCTCTCAACTCCTTGCATCTTAGTAGCTTTATTGCCTTACTTGGGATGAAAGGATTAAAAAAAACAAATGTAATTACTTACTGAATGCGCTAATATAATTTTGAAATCCATTGTTAGAGTTTGATTTTTTGAATTAGAGTTTGATTTTTAAAATAGTATTGTGTGTGTGTGTGTGTGTGTGTGTGTAAAGAGGAAAATTGAAAAGTGCTAAAAATCTTTTGTTGACTTTTCATGGAAAACTTGACAAATTGACCAACTAGCAACTTAGTCATTTCAGAAAACCATCAAAATTATATTAAAAAGGAAAACCATTTTATAATATGGATTATTGGTTATAATCAAAGAACTGATTCTCTGTCCATCACACACTGCAGGTAAAACATTCAGCTCCCTGTACTGCACCAGTAAGTACCTGACTCCTCATGTTATCCTCTATCTTTACAAGAACCAAATCAGGTTGAAAATGGAGTACTGCTGTCTTATAGCTGCCCAGACCTCACTCTCCAGCCTTCCAGAGTTTAAAAGTATCTCCAAGCCCTTGTGGGTGACAAATTATTCTCCCCCTCCAACCTCTTTCTCACAGGCGGGAAGTGGCAAGCCTTTTGCTGCTCTATCGCTACTTCCATGGAAAGTGCTCGGACAAACTACATTCCCTGGTTCCACTGTTGACAATATATGGATGCACCTCTAAACTCCTTTACGATCATAGATTGGCAATTGATTTCTCTTCTGATTTTAGTACTAACATCTTGATATACCTTATACTTAACAATACCTTGAAAACCAACATAGCTACATTTCATCACCACCGATTGGACCCCAAACTATCGCTAGTCTCGATGACAGATGTCCCCTCGAGAAGGTACCATGCCTCAAGAGACTATTGAGCCTCAAAATCATACATAACCTCAAGTGGAACTCTTATGTAAGATCCATCGCTAAAGATGTAGGTAGTATGGTCAGCTCCCTGTAATACTCCAGTATTTACGTGACTCCTCATGCTATCCTCTCTCTCTCTTTACAACAGTCAGATCAGTCCAAAAATGGAGGACTGTTGTCATATTTGCCCAGTCCTTACTTTCAAGTCTTGATAGAGCTCAAAAGTGTCTCTGATTCCTTGTGGGTAACAAATTATTTTTCACTCTCTCTAACCTCTCTCATATATTAGATATGGTGAGCCACTCACTGCTCTATCACTACTTCCATGGAAAGTGCTTGGACGAAATTCATTCCTTGGTTCCACCAGGTCTAACCCTTATGGCTAGGACCCAGCTTGCCACTTACATATTAGCAAAGCACTCATATTTCTTCCATATTCCATTGGTGAGAAGTAAGTTCCACTTGAACAGCTTCTTCCTACAAACCACTGCTCTGTGGATTAGATTCCCAAGACAATATTTCCTTGATCAATACAATTTTAACCTGTTTAAGTCTAGAGTTAATTGTTATCTTCCCATCTAATTTGTATAGACTGCCCCTTAATGTAACCCTCTACCTTGAGTGGCCCCTGGACCTTATATAGGGTGAACCTTACTGTAAAAAAAAACAAAAACAAAACAAAAACAGTTGACATCCACAGCTCAGCTTTAGTATCTACCATAATTAAGGTTTTCAGACAGTTCAAATATAAGCCTGACCAATGTCTATCTTTTTTACACTAGTGCAAATCAAATCCCTGTACCACACCAGTAAGTACCTGACCCCTCATGCTATCCTCTATCTTTACAAGAGCCAAATCAAGCCATAAATGGATAGATGCTGTCACACGTGGATGAAAATAGCCCAGTTCTCATTTTCCAGTCTTGATAGTTCAAAACCATCTGCAAATTCTTGTGGGTGGTGAATTATTTTCCACCCTCCAGCCTCTCTCCCACGGGCGGGATGTGGCAGGCCTCTCACTGCTCTATTTCTACTTTCATGCTTGGATGAACTACATTCCTTGGTTCTGTCAGTTCTAACCTTCACAACAAGGACACACCATGCCACGCCCATTGTAGGAAACCACCCACATTACCTCCGTGTTCCATTGGTGAGAAGTGAGTTCCATTGAACAATCTTAACTTATTCAAGTCTAGGGTTAACCATTATTTTTCCCTCTTATCCATATAAACTGCCTCTTAACATAACCCTCTACATTGAGTGGCTCCCTGAACCTTGTAGAGAGTGAACCTTACTGTAGAAAAAATTATAATTAATAAAATAGTGTACATGAAGAGGGAATTTTAATCAGAGCTGTTTTGTATTTATAGGGATAATTGCAAGTATGGATAATGTAATGGGGAGTGACTCTGAAAGAGAAATCAGAGGGTCAAATTCAATTAATATTGGGAAAGGTTTGAATCCGTTTCTTCTGCTCCCAGTTATGGGTTAAATATTAGGACTTGTATCTGGAAAAAAAAATCATTATTCTCATGGAGTTGTTAATACAATTTTTGATTTTTCGGTCTTTTAGTTCATTTTCCTTTTGGATTTTCTACTGTTTTTTTGGGGGGGGGCGTTGGGTATGGGTTACATACACAGAGAGTCAGGTATTTTATTTCATTTTCTTTTTGGAATTTCTACTGTTGGTTTTTGGGGGTCATTTTATTTTTTTATTTTTACATACACAGAGAGTCAGGTACTGAACTACACACCAGTGGATTGTGGGTAATAAATACTACCTATGATATCCTTGCCTTGTATAAGAAAAAATGTTAAAACAAAGTCACTTATACCAAAATTAATTATGATATAGTGTTGGGATCCTGGGACAACAAGTGAAATGAGGCTTGGGAACCAACATGTTAAATAATCCACAAAGGGTTGATAAACCATAAAAAATGAAACAAATCAATCTAAAGAAGCATGAATTTGAATTAGTTGTTTTTGTTTACAGAAATGTGCATGTTATTGTTAGAATCGACAATTAACCCAACAGAGAATGGAATTCTGTTGTTAACATTAAGTTCATAACTAAATTGAATTTTTGAAAATTTTAACCAATCATTCAAAATGAAATACAGCATGAACTCTATCAAAAAATTGCTATGTATTTCACACAGCAAAAGACCCAAAATGGTATTTTAGCTTCTCTTGATGCAAATAGTGTTTTTACCAATGTTTCTATAAAAGAAAGTATTACGGCCATATCACATTGAAATACTGGTTCTTGTACGGTCACTCAAGTTAAGCAATATCGAGCCTGGTCAGTACCTAGAGAGGTGACTGCTTAGGAATATGAGATGCTGTAAACTTGGATGTGTTGGTAGTGAAATGGATAACAGCTTGGAATTGGAGAGCCAAATTCTTTGCTGCTTACTCATTCCGTTAATGTAATTCTCAGTATCCTTCTGTAGAACTGCATTTCTGCTGCATCTAGTTTTTTCCTCATCCTTAGGGAAATTGTCCAGTATTTACTGACATATAAGAGGATGGATATCACACAGCAATCCAACACTTTTTTTCTTTGTTTCTAACAAAATATTTTTCTGTTTCCTTCTTTCACTAGTCCAATGCATGTTTGGGTGATAATGTCTCATTTTCTATCCTCTGTTAAAACACTTCCCAGATATTTAAACTTTTGCATGTGCTTAATGTTTATATCTCCAATTCATAACTTGCATCCTGGTCTTTTTCTCTTGCTGATGACCGTCCTTTCTGTTTTCTTGCAATTCATGGTTAGTCCTTTTCTTTTATTAACCTGTCTGCAAAGTTCTGTAGTTTCCTTTCTGATTCAGCCATCAACATCTTATAGTGTTAAGATTATGCCCACGGATAATAAATCCTGATAGGGTATCCAGTTCTCTCAGGAAAGTGTCACTGTAGAGGTTGAATAAACCTGGGGAGAAGATACGTCCTTGTCACACACCCCTTTATATTTTTATGTCTGACTTATATACCATTAAATCCTGATTGGAACACAATTTCCTCCTGTATCTCTGAGATGAGGTATTATTATTATTTACATTATTCAGACTGTTATCCTCATCTTCATTGCCATATTCACAAGATTCAAGCCTCTGTATCTCTGAGATGAAGTATTATTATTATTTACATTATTCAGACTGTTATCCTCATCTTCATTGCCATATTCACAAGATTCAAGCCTCTGTATCTCTGAGATGAGGTATTATTATTATTTACATTATTCAGACTGTTATCCTCATCTTCATTGCCATATTCACAAGATTCAAGCCTCTGTATCTCTGAGATGAGGTATTATTATTATTTACATTATTCAGACTGTTATCCTCATCTTCATTGCCATATTCACAAGATTCAAGCCTCTGTATCTCTGAGATGAGGTATTATTATTATTTACATTATTCAGACTGTTATCCTCATCTTCATTGCCATATTCACAAGATTCAAGCCTCTGTATCTCTGAGATGAGGTATTATTATTATTTACATTAGACTGTTATCCTCATCTTCATTGCCATATTCACAAGATTCAAGCCTCTGTATCTCTGAGATGAGGTATTATTATTATTTACATTATTCAGACTGTTATCCTCATCTTCACTGCCATACTCACAACATTTCGGCCATTGTACGCTCCAGACTTCTTCAGGTGATTGAAATTTCGAACCGACCCTTTTAGATTGTTCTAGTTCCACAAGCCATGCCTCTTCCAGATGTCTCGGTTATTTCCTTTTAATTCAATTATCCAAGCATTTTTGGTTCACCACTGCCTGTAGCCTGGTATTGAACTCACAACTCTCTCTGGGTCTAGTCACTGGATCTAACCAACGTCGTCATCCACTGGGCCGTGTGTTGTGAATATGGCAATGAAGATGAGGATAACAGTTTGAATAATGTAAATAACAATTTCCTCCTGTCCGTCATATTGATTCTGATTTTTTTTCATTTTTCTAATTTCTTTTTGCGTACATTTCAGATATTCCACATGGAGAGGTGGCAAAGCATGGCTCAGTGCCAACCGAGCATCTTTTCAATTGGCTGTTTGTATGTATTTCGCTTATTGAGCATTTAAAGAACAAAGATACTGACATGAGTTAATGACATTTTCTGAGAATTTATGTCCTTGATTTTTGATCATCACATTTTTCCAATTCTTGTGAAGGACACGAAATAAAAGAGAATTTGGTCCAATTTGATAAAAGTGAATTTGGGCTTTGGTCCAATTTGATAAGTAAAAATAGACACTAAAATTCATCCACACTTAATCCTACTGGATTTTTTTTAAATATTTTTTTTTTTTTTTATATAGAAAAGATGTTGATTTCATCTCTCATCCCATCCCCCCAACCCCAAAATAGAAAAGATTTGGATCTTTCCCCTGCCAGCCCCAAAATAGAAAAGATTTTGATCTTAAAAATATTAATAATAGAAAGGATTTTGATCTCCCCCACCTACAAAAAAAATAGAAAACAAAAATAGAAAAGATATCGATTTTGCCTCCACTGAAAAATAGAAAAAAAAATATATTAAATAATATATACATATAATAAATATTAAAAATAGAAAATATTTTGATCTCTTCCCCACCCCCTAATAGAAAGGATTTAGATATCCCTCCATTCCACTAACAAAAAAATAGAAAGGATTTGGATCTTCCCCTCCACCCCAAAATAGAAAACAAAAATAGAAAATATATTGATTTTGCCTCCACTGAAAAACAGAAAAGATTTTGGTCCTCCCCCAACAGAAAAATCACATTTGAATGATTACTGTATTTGATGGCAATATAAGCCGTCTTTTATTTCCATTTAAAAATGTCCTGGGAGATATTTTCAAAGTTCAAAATGCAAAGTCAAAATATCTACCCAGGCTAATGTTTACCCAAGCACCATAGACTCCAAGAACATGGATGCAGAGTCTTATATTCTTCCAATTTATCCTAGTTCAAAATATTATGTTGTTTAGAAAGTTATATTTTTTTTAGAAGAAATAAAAACCTGTTTCAATTTTTAAAAAATATTTTAGTTGTCAATAATAATAATAATGATTATGTTCTTATTAGCACAGATATAAGTTCACCAAAAGAGTAAATTTTTTTAAGTCTTTATAGGAAAAAAATATTCTGGAAAAAATAATAATACTTCTGAAGTGATCTTTATTTATATCCTGACTAATATCCTCATCTTTGTTGTTATCACAACATTATGCTTGTTATGGTAACCATCCTTCATCAGGTGTTTGTCGGTCTGAGTACGCTTCTTAGAATTTCAAACTGAACCCTTTGTCAAAATTCCTTTCGACTCTAAGGATAGCTAGAAGCTGGTCTGGTACAGTAAGTGATGTGAAACACTGCCTATCCCATGACCCAAATCCAAACAGGGGTCAGTTAACTATGTGAGAAGATGAGAGCTTGCGGAACAACTCTGTTCTCATAAGTGTCTCTCACAAAGGAAAAATGGAGTAGGGAGAGAAGTCACAAGGTGGCAGACCTGTGCATCTCACCCCTTCTTGTAAAGCAATTACAAAAAAACAGAGCTCAGAGCAGCCTCACTTTGGAAAACCAGCATGGCAAACACTTTGCCTCCCATATCTGGCCACAGCCCAAACACATGATGGTAATTTCACTTTATTTTTCCACGCTATTTAATCTACTGTACGATTGTAGATTGCTTACATTTTGTTGTTATCTATGCCTAAGGATATGTTCTAAAATGTGGGAAGGATTTATAATGCCCTTATAGTATTAAAATGAACCCTGACTTTGTGCCCACAAGTATTCCAAAGAAACTGTGACACTAAAATGAATATTCTTGACCTTATTTACATTTGGACAAATATCCTCATCTTTATTGTTATTATCACATTTCTGTTGTTGGATTCTCCAGTCTTCCAGTGTTTGTCAATCCTAGTAACCACCAGAGAATTTTGAACTAAGCCATTTATTTAATCTGTAATTCAGCTTGAAGCGAACTATTTCTTAATTTTGAAGATTTTTTTTTGGTAACAAAGAAAGTGTTTCATTTATGTGACTAAATGAAAATTTAAAAGATGTTAAATCCTGTGAACAGGGGCATTGAAGTCAAGCCTTTTTTTAGAGATGGAATAAAAAGAATCTGTTCCAAGGCAACAAAAAAACTATTTATCAAGAACATAATCATCATTCTTAACAAAAATACGACTGTTAAACTTGTTCTTTTATTGCTTCTTGAAACAGTATGGGTATTTTTTTTTTTATCAAGAAGCATTTCTTAGCATCTAGGCCAATGTTGTGTGGTTTATTGCACAAAGTTTATTAAATTATATTTAAAATTTAAACTTAGCTCTACTTGTACTTCTAGTAATCCCTAATTAGCAAGAGTTCCACGCATCATGCCTTTTCTGGATATCTCAGTTTCAGTTAAGTCCCTTTAGTAACTCAACTCTTCAAATTTTTGTTCACTTCTGCTGTGGCCAGGGATTGAACTCACAACTGTTTGGGTCAAGTCACTTTTTGGATTACTTCAATTATTACTGTTTTATCACCTGGGCCATGTGTCCTTGGGTATAAAGATGATGACAACAGTCTGAATGATGTAAATAGTTACAATACCTGATCTCGGAGATATAGACACCTGTCAATAGGGTTGAGAATGCAAAGGTGTAAATCCACCCCAAAGAAGTCATCTAACAGTTTCAATGCTTTCAAACTCTGATATGGACAAGTATTTATGTATAGACTTAAGTATAAACCCATGCTATTTAATATGTACCAATGTTTACCCACAGATTCAAGTATGATAAAAAACGACCTTCTTCAGGTGATATACGTTGAAATTTACAAGCAAACCCTTCATTTCACCCAGTGGAGTATATTGTTCTATTTCCACGTGCCATGCCTTTTCTGGATATCTCAATTTCAGTTAATTCTCTTTAGTAACTCAACTCTTCAAGTTTTTGTTCACCTCTGCTGTGGCCAGGTATTGAACTCACAAATCTTTGGGTCAAGTTATTGGATTATTTGAACTAATGCTTTTATCCACAGTGTCTTGGGACTAAAAAAGTGAATTAAAACTAGGAGAGTTGAGTTACTAAAGGGAAATAACTGAAACTAAATCAACTAGAACAATCTAACCTGTGGACTGAATAAAGGGTTCAATTCAAAATTCCCACATATATCATCTGAAGAAGGTTGGAGTGTACAACAGCCGAAATGTCGTGAATATGGTAATAAAAGACAGAAATTGATCTGGTCAATTGGGAGATGAAATCTGAAGAAAGAACCAGAAGAGCAGTCCATGAAAAAAAACAACATCCTTCAAAAACGCCAGACAAATAAAAGAGAGTCCAAAAAAAAACAAAAAAAAAGCCAAAGCTCCCCATCCTCTGAACCTTTTTACCCTACCATGCAATGGCTTTGGACATCTCTTCAGATCCGACATAAGACTCATTTCACATAGAAGAAAATGTTGATGAGTATCCCAATAATCAGTAACAAGTTCCACCAACAATGATGATGATGATGATTTTTTGTTATGAATAAAAAATATCAGAAAAATATTAAATTAAGTTTATGTAACAGATAATGGCATTTTTAAATAAATTTTGCAGTGTAAAAACAGAATCAAAGGAAAAAATTCACAGAAGTCTGTGAAAACACAACAAAAGATTATAAAAATTAATTAAGTAAACATAACAAAAGATTATAAAAATTAACTTTTCTTGGGAGAGATTTTGCAACATTTGAAAGCCTAGAGAAAATTGGATTAATAAATTATTTCTTTAAATCAAATAAAATTAAAATGTTACATCTTGGTATAAAAAGCTAAATTCAGTATGATTTTTTTTTTCATTTTATAGAAACAAAAATTACAAATTATGCAGAAATAAATAAAGTTGATTATTAATGTATTTACTTTTACGGAGAAAAATATTGATTTGAAGTGAAAAATGTTAAATTAACTTCTAAGTAGCAAGACCAAGTTTCCTAAATTACATTTTTTCCTGAATTTCACCCACAAAACAAATGTTTGTTTTTGCAGTGAAAACAAAAAACAATATTGCAAATCCAAAAGAAATAAAATAAATACATCTTATACTTACTTCGATTAAATAAGCTCAAGTTATTCCAAATGTCAAAAGGAAAAATTTCTTAAGCCAACTACAGCAGCGAACTACCACAAATCCAAACAGAAAAAAAATTCCTTCCAGTGGAACGAGATTTGAGACAGTCCTTCAGTTCTGAGCAAGAGATGCACTATGACATGGTCTGAAATAAAGCTCTCCATGGTTTGAACAAGTTAGTTGAATGAGAAGGTTGTGTCCAGACCAGGAAGCCTTCCTACCAAAAAAAAAAAAAATCTGTGTTTGGTTATTTAGGTCAAAATTGGGTCAGTAGGGCAGATCAATTTTGGGACTGTGGTATTGCACTCAATTTGAAAATTGGGGTTTAACATGATAAATAATAACATAAAATATTTTTTACTAAATCATTAACATTTTTTGAGGAAACAAGTTTGAAGATTAAGTTTAGGTTAAAAATCATTACATGGGAATTTCATTCCAGTGATCAGCCTTATAAAATTTATAATTATCTGAAGCTTTATAAATTTTATATGGGCAAGAAGCAAGGCATAAGAACATTATGACTAAATCATTGTGCCATGAAATAAGACCTTCATTTACTTCAAAAGGAAATTATACTGAACAATTTAGCTAGATTATAATGTAATATGTTATGCAGTAGTTTTAGTGCAATTTTCAATAAAAAATTCAAATTTAAAAGATTTTGTCTTATAATTTATAACCAGCAGTTTTATGGTGTTACAGACACTTATCTATTTTTTGTGTTTATTAATTATGATCTGACAAATCTTATTCAGTGAGTAGCTTTTTTGTAATTGCTTAAGATATTTTTTTTACAGCTTTTACTTCTCAAATACAGTAAGAAAAAATGCATAATATTGCTTGTGGTGATTCATAATCAGAATTCTGGTTTGAATATATTTTCCATTCAATGTGTCTAATACAAAAGATATTAACTTTATTTGGATTTATTCTTAAAATAGTAAAATTTTGAAGTTCATTTTAAAGCAAAAACCTGCAGAAATTAGGTATTTCTG